AGGGGGGCGCGGGGCGAGCCCGGCGCTCGCGGGATGAAGGCGGGGAGCGCGGCGGGCGGCCGGCGGGGGCTGTCTCCGCCACCCCAGCGCCCAAAGACGCGGCCCAACCCTCGCAACCCGGAAAACGCCAACAAGTAGTTTCCCGCTGGAGGAGGGCGGCTCGGCTGGGTGTCAGGACTCGGTCCGGCTGCCCTGGGACTCTCGTCCACTCGGAAACCACAGCAGACCCACTTTTCTCTCGGTCTCGTTAAGGTATCCGCGGGCGGGAGGGAAGGGGGGTGGATTAGCCGCGAAGGGCGCGCTGACCCTGCAGGCGAGCACCCCCGCTCCGTTCCGCAGTAGGAATGTGGAGGTGAAGCCCTGGGGGAGGTGGCTGGGAGACTGGAAACGGGCCACTGTCAGCCCGACTTCCAGCTCGGCGCTCCAGGGGGTGTGCCTCCAGCAGCTTCTCTCTGGGCCTCGCCCCTCCTAGAAAGCAGCCCCCCACTCTCCGCCCCCAAGGCGTTTGTTTTTCTTGGGAAGGGGGGATGGGGTGGGATGCACTGATCACTTCTGTTCTCAGAAATGGATCCTAGTTAGTCGTTTCCTTGCCCAAGTAATAATAATATTAACAACAATAACGTGAAAAGGAAATTGGATCAGGAAATTAGTTAGAGGTCTCCTTGGGGAAAGGCAACAGCAGGGACATTTTTTGCTCTGACTTATGCGTTGGGGGTTTCTGCCTGGTCCGGGAGGGAGAGTCCAGGTGAACCAGAACAGATCGCGCAGAGGGCGCGCCCCGAGCGCCGGGGACAGCGAGCCGTCCAGAGCGGACCGAGGGTACGCGTGCACGGGGCGCTCCGCGGGGCCGGGGGGCTCTCCCCAGCACTGCCGAGTTGCCTCTGCCGAGAACCCCCTGCCTAGGAGAACTGCCTCCAGGCTAGGGGACAGAGGGGGGCTAGGAGAGCGGAAGAGAGGGACCAGGGCGGGGAGACAGGGGGACAACGGAGAGAGAAAGAGTTAGGAGGGAGAGATGCGGGGTGTGGGGAGACTGGGTTAGGGGCTGGGAGCAGGTGGGACTTGAGAGAGGACAGGGGAGGGAGAGAGAAGGGTGAGAAGAGGAAGGAGGAGGGATCAGAGCAAAGGGAGGACGGTGTGAGTCAGGGAGAGGGCGTCGCGGAAGGTCAGGAAGACTTGGACTGTCATCTCCCTACTGCTCGGGAAGCCTGGGAGAGGGGCGATGTGGAGGCGGGGACAGCGCTGGGCGCTGATCTTCTCCTGGGAGGCTCGGGCGCCCCTTGCCCGTCTGCCAACCCTGCATCTTGGGGCCCTTGGGCTGGCGGTGGGGTGGGGGTCACCGTGCGGCTCTGACGGCCGAGGTCTTTAACTTGGCGCTGTGTTCGCCTCCTCCAGTCATGTCTGAGCCACAGAGATGGGCAAGATCGAGAACAACGAGAGGGTGATCCTCAATGTCGGGGGCACCCGGCACGAAACCTACCGCAGCACCCTCAAGACCCTGCCCGGGACGCGCCTGGCCCTGCTCGCCGCCTCCGAGCCCCCGGGCGACTGCCTGACGGCGGACCAGCTGCAGCCGTCGCCCCCTCCGCTGTCGCCGCCCCCGCGGCCGCCCCCGCTGGCCCCCGGGCCGGGCGGCTGCTTCGAGGGCGGCGCGGGCCGCTGCAGTCCCCCCGGGGGCGGCCGCGAGTTCTTCTTCGACCGGCACCCGGGCGTCTTCGCCTACGTGCTCAACTACTACCGCACGGGCAAGCTGCACTGCCCGGCCGACGTGTGCGGGCCGCTCTTCGAGGAGGAGCTGGCCTTCTGGGGCATCGACGAGACGGACGTGGAGCCCTGCTGCTGGATGACCTACCGGCAGCACCGCGACGCCGAGGAGGCGCTCGACATCTTCGAGACCCCCGACCTCATCGGCGGGGACCCTGGCGACGACGAGGACCTGGCGGCCAAGAGGTTGGGCATCGAGGACGCTGCGGGCCTGGGGGGCCCCGACGGCAAGTCCGGCCGCTGGAGGAGGCTGCAGCCCCGCATGTGGGCCCTCTTCGAGGACCCCTACTCGTCCAGAGCCGCCAGGGTAAGGCCGAATCGCCCCTTCCCTGCTGCCCCAACTTCTCCAACTCCTTCCCCCGCCGTCAGTTCTTTTCCACCAAGGGCTCTGGGATGGGGTAATCGGAGAAGGGACCAGGGCTCCCTAACGATGAGATTAGAGACCCATGTGGTGCAAGGTAAACGCAGGGACTCTGGCCCCTGTCCTCCTCGCCCCCCTTAACCCCCCTCCTCTCCTCAACTCAAACTGAGGTTTACTTGAGCGGATGGGAACCAAAGTGCAAATGTCGACTGCTCTGTGCAAGTCTATCTGAGCCTCATCCTGAAACTCGTGTCACGCTTTATTTTGAGCTTTGTTCCTGACTCTTTTGTCCCAACTTTTCCTTTAGCTCGGATGTCTCTTCGGGCCTTCTGGTCATCACAATTTGACATTTTCAGTGAGGCCTGACACTCCTTCACATCTGACTCACCTAGAGCAGTGGTTCCATTTAGAGATCGAATCTGAGGACAGAAGAGGGGAAATGGAATATATGGATGTGGCTGGGAGTTGGTGGGGCAGGGCGTGCAGGAGGTTTATTTTGTGAAGAAAATCCCCTGACTGCTGTTTGGCCTGCCTCCATCGAGGGAGAAGCTCGCTGGGATTGCTCCCCGGAGCTGACCAGAGAGCCCACCTGCACGCTGAATTGTGGAGTCTGGCGCCTTTTCCCTTGGGCTGTATCTATGTTTATTACAGATTGAAAGTGCATTAGTCACTTTGGTGATCCTCGTTTAGTCAGTTCTCTAAATTTGAGTAATTTAGATTGTAGCAAACTTTATTTTACTCTTTAGATGGTGATCCCATTCTCAATTTTCTTTTCAGTGTCTAGCTTGAATGACAGCTTAAATTTAGTCTTTGACACTCACAATTAATTCTTCAAAATTCCATGAAGGGACTATAAAAGTAACCAATAATGGTTTCTCCAGTTTAAAGGAAATAAGAGAAATATAAATAACCAAAAATTATACAGTATATGTGAAAATAGAGTACTGTATTTAGTTAAGTCTTTGCAACTGCCTGTGTCTGGTTTGTTTCTGACACCCAGAAAAGATACCCCCTGGGCAGAATGGGGATTCTCACAGTCTGTCTTTGGCTCTGTCCTCATTATTGTCTTTCTCTGTGTGTCGGAAGTCTCTGCATCTGAGATACTGTGCAGCTGTCTATCCACTAACTTGTCAGAAGATGTGCTTCTGATGCCACTTTAGAAGTCTGAGGATATGTTTTGTTTTCAGTGTGAAACAGAATATGAAAGAGACAATTTAAAGCATTGCTGTTCTTTTGGATCTGGTACTTAAATACATACGTAAATTCTAGTATGTCCATAGTCTCATATTTGAGTATAAAATTAATAACTCCAATTCTGAAATCTTCCTTTTAAGACCATTCTATAAATTGAACAAGAGTTGCATTCAGAAAAACCAGACAAACAAGTGCATGTTTATTTAAATTAAATCACAGACTCATGACCACTGCATCTGTGTTTTTTGGATTCCAGCTGAGTGCCACAGTGCTCTATCCACTTGGTGGCTAAAAAGATAATCTGAATTTGTTTTCAGGCTCATCCTGTTTTCAGGCTCATTTTTGCGCAGATCGTGTGCTATAAAAAACACAATGTTTTGTTATCTTTCCTTATGATAATATATTACATTTTGTTGTAGGCTAGATTGCATAGCAAAAACTTTAAGAAGGGGTTCAATTTTTTTTATGGCAATGGAAATTGATTCCTTTGATTGTTGGTCAAAGGGTAAACCGTTAACTTGAAAATAATTTTAAAAAATTTTACTAATATTTCATTGTAATAATATGAAGGATTTGACCTGCATCCATTCAGGTGAGGAAAGAACACAGATAAATTAGAGATTAACACAAGTTCAAAGAGCCGTTAGAAGCAGAATCAGCTGAGAATCGTAGACCTGGAAAATGTCTATGCGGTCACCTCGTCAAAACCCTTTATTTTATGGATGAGGAGAATGAAGATTGCAGATGCTAAGTGATGGCCAAGGTCACAGAGCAAGTTAATAGCAGTGCCAAAATTATGCTGGAGGTCTCATGACGTCCTCCCTGGCCCTTCCACCACAACCACTGATGACAACTGACTGTCTCTCCTGTGAAATCTCTGCAGATTGTACTGCTCTTGAGATCTAATGCAGCATTAGACATTCACTAGAATTCTAACTTTGAAAGGTCATCTGTGACTTTTTTTTAATATATGTAGTACAGGACTTTGGCTGGTAGAATTTTTAGCCTGCACCGCTCAACATTAGAGTGAAAATATGGGATTCATTTAACTTCTTAAAATGAGCCCTGTTTGAACTTTCCATTTTTATTGGACCAGTTGATATGTAATGTTTTGCTTTCTTTCAGATTGGCTAACATTTGATTTTTTAGAAGTTTAAAAAAATTAGTATAAGGGCAAAATACTAGATTCAAAATATTTTAAATGATTTATTCCCAGTGTTAAACAGCTGAGAGAAGTTATACGTTTTTCCTTGTCCTCCTTCTTTTCACTTATTTTTTGGGGGAGGAGAGAAGGTGATTGAATTAGGTTGTGTTTTAGAGTATGGCTCTTCCTTGGTGACGTGTAACTTTGATTAACTGGTAGACGTTGTTTTACTGTCAAAGAGCATCTTAGAAAAGAAAAACAGAAGAATAAGTGCCATGGAAACATATTTAAGATGTTGGCTTTTTGGTGCGGGTCTAGACCATTTCATGTATATTCTCTGACCTTTATCCAGCATATGATTATGTGCAGGTCATCCTGAATTATACACGGATTGTGATAGTGAATCCATCCTTTTTTCTTAATCTTGAAAATATTTACTTTATTAGCATTTTAAATTGTTTTATTTCCATAGCGTTACTAGAATATATTCCTTAAAACTATTAAAATTTAAATTTCAATATCTAGAGTTGAATTCGGAATTGCACATATTTAATTTACTTTTTATAGGCTGTTTTTTCCTCTTCCTCAAACCACAGAACAAAACAGGAAAGAAATTATCTACATAACTATGTGCTAGCTTTAAGTATAACATTTAATTAAAAACATTATAATAAGGTAAAGAGAATTTGAGTCATATTATATTAAGATAAAAGAAATAAAATATATTATTTCTTGTTTTGTAAGCATTGCTCCATTTAAAAGAATTAATGGCCAAATATATCTTGTTCATAAAATATTGTTGTCAGTTATTAAAATTTTTAGAACATTTATTTATTTAATGAATATTGATTATGCAGTCACTCTAGACCAGAAACTATGCAAGATACTGGGAATGCGTGGACAAGATATATTCCTTTGCCCTCAATAAACTTACTACTCTATTTATGATAAAATATTTCCTAAAGACATTATCTGTTAAATTAAAAAATGCAGCAAAATGACAACAAACAAAATTCTAGAGATATTAAAGATAAGCTTTCCTTAAAAAAAAATCTCACATGGAAATGTTGCCTAACACATGCAGAAAACATTCCGTTTAGAAAAGATGATGTTAAGGTGTTGTTACTCTTTATTTTATAATGAGAGTGTTAGGCTCTTTTAATCTTGATTGTTCTGTTTTCGAAGTGATTTCTAAACTCTCTCTTTGCAGTATTATTGGAGAATATGATGAAGGCTCTACTTAGACCAAATTACTGAATTTTTGGGGTATAGTCAAGTGTCTTCATCCCTTTTATGTTAATCAGGAGTCATGGCCAGCCTTGTAACAATGTAAATCCAAACTTCAGACCCTTGAAAAGAGGCTGCAGTAATAGTCTGGTGTATTTGCATTGCCATGTAAGCATCTAAGTGTCTTTTGACCTTTTCCAGGCCACTAATTTTATGGTTCACAAGTAAATTTAATTTTATGCTTATATTTTAAGCACTGGATAGGATCCGAGAGTACCTAATTCAATACATCATTAAAAGAACCAAGTACAGTAACTTCAATAGTCGATTATATATTTAGAAGGATATTTGATCACAAACTAGGTGATCTGATCCATTGCTGGGCATCGGCTATCGTAGTTGCACAGATTGGGTATGATTTTTTTCGTGTAATATTCTGCTAAGAGCTCATTTGTAGACTTGAGTTGACAAAATTAAATGAGAGTCAAGGAAATTTTTCTTCTCTGTCAAGAAGCACATTTTCAAAGTACTGAAAACAAGGAAATGTGTAAGTTTATATCAAAATGCAGGTCACCCTTTCCTATTTGAAAGTGATGTATATCATTACCACTTATTTTTACTACTACAAATACAGCAGATGTGGTTTTCAAGTCTCATATTATTTGAACTTGTGAGTCATATGTCCTTTTTATTATGGCAACCTTTAAAAATATGTCTAAATGAAATAGTAAAGGGCTTTAAAGGACTGATAAAACACAGATCTCCAGACGGAAATATATCATGGCAACATAGTCTAAACAGTAACCATCAATATATTATGTAAACTTAATTCAATGCTGTTTGAAGTATGAAGAGCTTTTCTTTTAGAAGAGCAGTCAAGATATTTTTTTAATGACAGAATAGCACTGCTTTTTGCTTTTTCTTATAGGTTGAAGGGTGGTGATTAATTTTAATACTGTGTAGTCAATATTTTCACAGAAAGTGACTGAATTGTGGGCATTGGGAGGAGAAGAGAGCAGGAGTAGAGAATACATGGAAACAGCATTGGAAAATGCGTGGACTGGGGTCTGTGAGACCTGTGTACTGACCCTGATTTCACCACTGGCTGTGTGACCTTGGAGAATTGACTTCATCTTCATGAGGCTTGATTTCCTTTGCCTTATTCTGAAAAAAAATATTGGGGATGATACATTGGACTAGATAGTATCCACACTTCTTTCCAGCTCTAACATTTTGAGGTTTGGAAGAAAAACAAGGATACTTGTTGCTAAAGATCCCTGGGGGTGGGGTGGGGCAGGGACAGCGTGTCTGCATTCATTTTGACTGTACTCTAAGGACCATCACACTAATAAGGTATCTATTTTTTTGTTGTTGTTTTTTA